TGTGTGTGTGTGTGTGTGTGTCTATGTATGTGTGAAGGGGTGTGGGTGTGCACGCACACGCCTGCCACAATGCACGTGTGGAGGTCAGAGGACAACCTATGAGAGCTGTTTCTCTCCTTCCACCATGTGGGTCTTGGGGACCAAACGCAGGTCATCAGGTGTGGAGCTTGCAAGCCACCTCTTCTGTCATAACATGTGTCTCTAAAGCAGGGACACATGTGGGTGGTGACCCTTTGGCAAACCTTTATCACCAAAAATATTACACTACAATTCATAACAGGAGCAAAATTACAGTTATAAAGTAGCAACAAAAGTAATTTTATGGCCTGGTGGTGGTGGCAGCGCACGCCTTTAATTCTAGCACTTCGGAGGCAAGAGGCAGGTGGATCTCAGTGAGTTCAAAGCCAGCCATGTCTAGAAAGCGAGTTTCAGGACAGCCAGGACTGTTACACAGAGAAACCCTGTCTTGAAAAACAAAACAAAAATTTTATAGTTGGGGGGCTGGAGAGATGGCTCAGAGGTTAAGAGCATTGTCTGCTCTTCCCAAGGTCCTGAGTTCAATTCCCAGCACCCCCATGGTGGCTCACAACCATCTGTAATGGGGTCTGGTGCCCTCTTCTGGCCTGCAGGCATACACACAGACAGAATATTGTATACATAATAAATAAATAAATTTAAAAAAAATTATAGTTGGGAGGTCACAGAAACACGAGGAACTGTATTAAAGGGTAGTAGCATTAGGAAGGTTGAGAGCCACTGCTCTAAAGGGAGAATTTTCTGGGAAAAGGAGAGGCCAGCAAGAATGACACCGAGGCACTGCAGTCAGCCTGGGGCCCAGGGGAGAATTCTATACGCAGCCTGGACTGGGGGCACACGCCTGAAGTCCCACAACGTCAGAGGCTAAACCAGAAAGTTTGAGAGCCGAGGAACAGTCTGGGCTCCGTATCTGAGTCCCTATCTCAAAAAGCAAAAACAAACAAACAACCGAAGCCGTGTTTTTGTTCACGGGGAGCCGAAGCCTGCATACCTGAAGGTGGTACTGGGTGTTCCTGAAGACATTGTAGATGACAGCAGTGTGCGCACAGACGTAGAGAATGACTCTCTGGTTCTCCCGGAGGTAGTAGACAGGGAGGAAACTGTTCCATCCAAAGGACCAGGTCATGGTCTGGAGGACAAAGACAGACAGGGAGCCAGAGTTGTGACTCCTGCGTCTCCCCCTCCCCCGCCTGCCTTTGGAGGAGAAAGACTTTGACAATCGAAGAAAAAAAAACTTTTTATTTGTTTGAAACACACGTGACCCAGGTTGACCTTAAACTCACTACATAGCTAAAGGGTGGCCTTTCACTCCCCATCATCCTGACTATCCTACCTTTTCTAAAAATTAAAAAAAATAATAATAAATAGATGAAAGAATGGAGGAGGGAGCGGAAGGCAGGGAGGGAGGGTCTTTAACATCACATAGAACACTCCTTCCCGGGGAGATGGCTCGGTGGTCAGGAGCACTGGCCGTTTTTCCAGAGGACCCGGGTTTAATTCTCAGCACCCACATGGCAGCTCACAACTGTCTGCAGCTCCAGCTGCAGGGGATCCGACACAGACACACAGACACACGTGCAGACAAGACACCAATGCGCATAAAATAAAAGTAATTCTTAAAAAATAAATTAAAACAAACAAACAAAACACGCATTTTCTGTTCTCCACTCCTCAGGTCTGAAGTCCCACTTGGTACCAGCACAGACTGACTTACTTAATGTGGTGAATTCCATTACTTCCTGGAAACACAGGACAGAGAATGTGTAATAAACCCACCCAGCAGGTTTATAAGAAAGGGAAGCATTCAGCCTGAATTCTTCTGCCTTGTTTTGTGTTTCTGTTGTTGTTTTGTTGTTGCTTTCCGGACTTCAGTGGTAGAGTACTTGCCAAACATGGGCAAGGCCTGAGTCCAATACCAGCACCACGTATAGATACTAGATAAATAAATCTAGTCTTCTGGGAGCAAAGGCAAAATAAGAATTTTATGAAATGAGAAACCAAGACATTCAGGAAAGGGCAAAACAACCACAACATGGAAAATGACCAGTGCTGCCAGGGTTCTGGAGGAGGAGGCAGAGTGCACAGGAGGTGTGCAGGGGTGGACAGGAATGGCAGACATGCAGTTTGATACCCCTGTCAAAGCCCACAGAAGGCACAGCATACCCGGCTGCTGATGCCATCTGCCAATGGTAATGCTAACAGTGGCATATCCGTGCTGGCAAATGTGCCGCGCTGACACAAGCTGGCAATGGAAGGGGAATCTGGAGGCGGTGGCACAGAGGGATGTGCAGAAACTCTACATACTGTCTATCCAGATTTTCCCTGAGCCTGAAGCTGTTCTCTCTCACACACAAAATCCAACCCATAAAAGCAGCATTGCCAGTGCTGGTGGTCGCATGGCAGACGGCTGAGGATGGTGAGTTATACTGGGAGACAGCAACCACTGTCTTTCTTCTTGGAACAAAACTTGGCAAGCTGAATGGAGGAAGCGCGTATTTCTGCCCAAGACAGACACTGCAGGTGACGTGTGCGGTGACGTCTCTCTCCTGCGGTGTTCACTCCCCAAACTTCTTGTTTCCAATCTGCCTGCTCCGTGGAACTTGCGTTTCTGTTTAGATCTCAGATTGTGTGGGTGGGAGTGGTAGGACTGTGTAATTATAATTGTCTCTAGCTGCACCTTCTAGGAACACAGTTACTTAATATTTGCCTTGGTTCTAAAATGCCAATCTATGCAAATGAAACTGCTCTTTTGGAGACTTGGTAATCCTAAAAGGAGCATCATGTTCATCCTGAAATTTCATTTTGTCAATTCCAAATTAGTCATGAGAAAGGAAAGATTCCAGCCGGGTGTGGTAGTGCATGTCTGTAAAGTCTGCACTTCAGAGGTGAAGGGAAGCAGATTAGCCCTGGCTACATAGTGAATTTGAAACCAGCCTGGGATAGACAAGTGAACAAAACAAGGGGCCATAAAAAGATCTTACTGGGGCTGGGCGGAGGTGGCATACACCTTTAATCCCAGCACTAAGTGTGGAGAGTGGGGGCAGAGACAGGTGGATCTCTGAGTTCAAGGCAAGCCTGGTCTACAGAGTAAGTTCCAGGACAGGACCCAAAGCTACACAAAGAAACCCTGTCTTGAAAAATAAAACAACAGAAAAAGAATGGTCCCTATAGGCTCATACATTTTTGAGTTTAGTCCCCAGTTGGCAGACTGTTTAGGAAGGACTAGGAGGCTAGGGCTAGGGCTACCAGGCCTCCCCACTGGAGGAGGTGTGTCACTGAGGGTGGGCTTTGAGGTCCAGGTCCATCCTCTCTTTTTCTCTCCCTGCTACCTGCAGATAGACCAGGATGTAAGCTCTTAGCTCCAGCACCATGCCAGTCCCCGTGCCTACCTGCCTGCCCACCACTCCCTACCATGATGGCCATGGACTAACCCTCTGAAACTGTAAGCAAGCCCCCAAGAAAATGCTTTATTTTCTAAGAGATGCCGTGGTCGTTGTATCTCTTCACGGCATTCCAACAGTGACTCAGCAAAGGGGTGTGGAGGCAGGAGGAACCTAGAGGTTTGCTGGCCAGCCAGTCTAAATGGAATGATGAGCTTCAGGCTAAGTGAGAGGCACCGTCTCAAAACAAATTCAGTGGGACAAGGGCAAGACAGCTCAGTGAGTGGAGGCACTCCCTGCCAAGCCTGAGGACGGCAGTTCAGTCCCTGGACTCACGTGAAGGGAAGGGGACACGGCTTTTGCAAGGCGCCCTCCGGCTTTCCCGTGTACCCTGGAGCTGTGACATCCTCTCACAAGTAAATGTACTATAAATTCTGTCTTAAAGAAAAAGAAGTAAGGCGGAGAATAGTGGAATCACTGAAGACCAGCAGGTGTGCATGCCTATAATCCTAGAACTCAGGGGGCTGAGGCTAAGAAAGTTATAAATTCAAGGCTAGCCTGGGCTACATAGCAAAACCTTGTCTCAAAGCAAAACAGAAAAACCAAAATCTACTGTGAGCTATGTACAAAGGCTGTGTCAGGACTAAATTATTTACATAGAATCAATTTTCCAGAGACTTGAATCCTCAGGAAAGGGGACAGAAAAAAAAAGGAAAAAAAAAAAAAACCAAAAGCAAAAAGCAAGAATGAATCCTATCTAGCAATTTCCAGAAAGCAGCAGATGGGGAAAGAGTTGTGGGAGGGGCTTCTTCTTCCTTCTCCTTCGCTGGGCAAATGACAATATTTTTGGGCCTCACAGATGGTGCCTCCCTGGGATACACGTCAGCAGCAGCAAGGACAGAGATTTGCCACTTTCTGATGAAGGTCTGGGGAGCTCTCAAAGTTCTCCACCTAGCGGAGGCAGAAGAGGGCAGAAGGCAACACGAAAGAGGAAGGTTGGCAGTGTCTGAGAAGGAAGAGGGTCAAGAGAGGAAGATGAGAGAGCAGAGGGAGGAAGGAGAGGAACAGAGGGTAGGAAAGAGAAAGAGAGAGGGAAAGATGGTAGAATTTCCCTCATGAAATAGCCAACGCAGCAGCCCAACTATGTCGGGAATTTCTGGCCTGCTGAGCAGTGCTATTGAACCCAGATGTTGCCATCAAGTTCCAGATCTAAGACATGGATGCCCCCCACCTCCCAGCTCTTGACACACTTCAAAAGACATAGTTTGCCTGAAAAGCATTAATTTAAAAAGTTGGTTGTTTGTTTCTCTGGGTTGGAGAGATGCCAACTGAGAGTCGTGCGTTTAGTCCTCAGGATCTAGTCGTTTAGACCAAAATCGGCTAGGCACGACAGAAGGGCGTGCTGGGGAGGGAGGGACAGGTGGGCCTTGGGAGGTTGGAGGTGGATGTCACTGGCCAGGTGGTTACTTTACAATTCAGATTCCAAGCCAATGGGAAATCTTAAAAAACAAACAAAACAAAACAAAAAAAAACCAAAAACAAACAAACAAACAAAAAAAACAGTAGTGGTGGGTCCATCTCTAAATTTGAAGCCAGCCTGGTCTACCTAGTAAGTTCCAGAATGGGCAAGGATACACAGAGAAACCCTGTCATGAAAAAGCAAACAAAACAAACAAAAGTAACAGAGGCTGAAGAAGACACCCCAGGTTCTCATACGCACGTAGAAGCACAAACACACTGAACTTCTCCCGACACGCACAGCGCCGTCCAAGCCCGGGAATGGCAGACTGTGACGCTCACCAAAGGATACACCTTGGAGGCCTCCTCCTTCTGGAACAAGGTGTCCTCTGTGGAGGTGGCCACCATTGACTCCTCGGGACCCCCTGATTTGAGCTGGGATAATTTTTGTCGTTCTTCCTCTGTGAGGAGGAAGGCCAGTTCTCCGGATTCCGCTTTCTCCCGTGCTGCTTCAGCACCTTCCTGGTCTCTCCATCCTTGGGCTGAAACATCGGCCTCCTGGCCAGTTTCCTTCTTAACTCCCTTCGATGACCTCCTCCCGCGAGAATGGATCTGTACCTCCTCAGACTCTACAGCAGCTGCCTCAGTGATTTCATCTTTTGTACTTCTATCTCTGAAGATCTGGCTCACTTCAGGACTCTGGGAGTGTGAAGACGACTTGCTACTTCCCGAGGTTATAATCTTTAAATAGAAACAAAAGATTCTGAGCCCGCACCTAGTACCCAATGCTACTTCATTCTCCCATTTCCGGTCTTTTTCCATTCCCAATCAGCCAGCTTCATGATAACAGGTGGTTCAAAAGAAATCTGGGATATGTTTTTTAATTTATTTATTAATTATGTACACCGTGTTCTGCCTTCATGGATGCCGGCACTGCCAGAAGAGGGCACCAGATCTCATCAGGGATCATTGTGAGCCACCGTGTGGTTGCTGGGAACTGAACTCAGGACCTCTGCTTAACCTCTGAGCCATCTCTCCAGCCTCATACCTGGGGCATTTTGTGCTAAAGAAATTCATGACTTTGTTCAGGTTAATTCTTGGTCTCCCAGCAGGCCCACACAGCAAAGACCATAGAGTGGGCCCTGGTAATTAGTGCTGAGAATCCCACCCTTGGACCAGCACTGAGTTCTTCATTGGGGGCAGGTTGTGGGAAACACATACCACTATTATACCACAGGAACTGGGTCCCAGAACAAGTGTGTCTCACCTTCAGCTAATCCATTGGCCCTTTCCAAGTCAGGTACACATGTCATGGAAGCTTGCATTGACCACCCTCCTTGGCATCTCACAATTACTGTACATAGCATGTAGTTTTCTTTTCTTTTTAGAGTGCATATGTGTTTATGTGATGTGGGGTGTGTATGTGTGTACGTGTTTTATACAGGTGCTCAAGGAGTCCAGAAGAGGACATCAGATTCCCTGGAGCTGGATTACAGGACATGTCATCAAGGGTGCTGGGAACCCAACTCAAGCCTTCAGTAAAAACAGCAAGGGCTCTTAAGCTCCAAGTCACCTCTCCAGCCCCAGGATTGTCTCTTCCTTTGGTTTTGTACCCCATAGCCCGACATACACTAAGCACACAACAGATGCTTCCGGATGGATGGGGATGACTTTGTCTGGACTCACCAGGGACGATGCTGACGTGGATGACTCAGAACTGATGACGATATCATCTAAGATGAGTCGCTTTGGGGGTTTCTTTGCTCCTTCGTCCTCAGCGCTTCCAATTTGTTTCTCGGTTTCTTTTATGACAGTACCTCCCTCTTCTTCTCCCTTTCCACTCCTCTCTTTCCCCTCCTCTTTTCCTTCCTGCCCTTCCCCCTTATGCTCCTCCTCTCCCCTCTCCTTGTCTTCCTCCTCACCTCCATTTTCCTTACTTTCCACTTTTTCAACTCCTATTCCCTTACCTTTTTCCTCTTCACCTTTCTCCTTTTCCTCCCATCTCTTTTCCTCTTCCTCACCCACTTCCTCTTCCTCCTCTCTCATTTCCTCTTCCCTACCTCTCACTTCCTCTTCCTCCTCTCTCATTTCCTCTTCCTTACCTCTCACTTCCTCTTCCTCACCTCTCATTTCCTCTTCCTCACCTCTCATTTCCATTTCTTCCTCTCTCATTTCCTCTTCCTCACCTCTCACTTCTTCCTCTCTCAAATCTTCTTCCTCTCTCAAATCCTCTTTTTCCTCTCCTATTTCTTCTTCCTCACCTCTCACTTCCTCTTCTTCCTCTCTCATTTCCTCTTCCTCACCTCTCACTTCTTCCTCCCTCAAATCCTCTTCTTCCTCTCTCATTTCCTCTTCCTCACCTCTCATTTCCTGTTCCTCACCACTCACTTCCTCTTCTTCCTCTCTCATTTCATCTTCCTTACCTCTCAAATCCTCTTCTTCCTCTCCCAATTCCTCTTCCTCCTCTCTCATTTCCTCTTCCTCACCTCTCATTTCCTCTTCTTTTCCTCTCTCTTCCTCCCCTCTCACTCCTTCTTCCTCCCCTTTCTCTTCCTGTCCTCTTGCTTCCTCTCCTTCTATCTGTTCCTCTTCCTCCACCCATTTCTCCTCCACCTCCTGAGACTCCCCCCATGATAACGTGTCTCCAGTCAGGCTTGGCTGCAGGCTTTCTTCTTCATGACTTGGATTATCTTCCTCCTCTTCTTTTTCTGTTTCTACACTTTCTTCCGCGTCTGACATCTTTCTGTAGTTTCCTCTAGAACAATTGTAACAGACTCAGCAGCAGGCCCTCTGCCTCCCGCCCCGGCTTCCTGAGAAGTTAACACATTGAAATGCACACAGCAGCAGCTCTCTCTGGTCCTTCCTGTGGGAGCTTTTTACTCCCGTCATGCCGTCTTCTCAAGAAAGCCAGCTCGAATCTTAAAAATCTTTAAAATATTAACTCCCAGGCCTCCCGTCTTTCTAGGAATGATTTTAGCATCTTCTAACTCACTTCAGATAATTCATATTCCCTAAGGCAGACATTAACAAAAACTCCAGTGATAGGAATAAGAGAGTGGCATGGGCTGGTGACTGAAGTGTGGGCTTTACAGTCAAAGGTTCTCTCCACACCCACGTCCACCACCCTTGTTCTGTGACAGGAAGCAAGTCATTTTTCCTTCCAAGATCAAATTTGCTCACAGGCAAAAACAAAAACGATAATACTAAATTCTAGTATGATTTGAAGACTGGGACAACACATGTCATCAGATGATCAGAACAGATACAGCCAAGACCTTGGGAAGAAAAGTGGGGGCAGGTATTAGGGGGATAAAAGCAACTCTGCTTTTACAAAGTACGGTAAAAGCCTGAAAGTCTTCTGGGGGTAGATGAGACACCAAGTCTTACAACCTGAGGCAGACAGACCCCCAGGACTCACATGGTGGAAGGAGAAAACCAACTCCCAAAGGTTGTCATGTGATCTCACCACATTCTGGCCTGGCGGCAGTGGCGCACGCCTTTAATCCCAGCACTTGGGAGGCAGAGGCAGGCGGATCTCTGTGAGTTTGAGGCCAGCCTGGTCTACAAGAGCTAGTTTCAGGACAGGCTCCAAAGCTATAGAGAAACCCTGTTTCCAAAAAAAAAAAAATTAATTCTCGCTGGAGAGATGGCTCAGTGGTTAAAAGCTCTGGCTGCTTTTCCAGAGGACCCAGGTTTGATTCCCTGCCCCTACACAGGCTCACAACTATCTGTAACTCGAGTGCCAGGGGATCTGACGCCCTCTCCTGGACTCTTCAGGCACTGCACACATGGTGTGAGACATGCATGCAGACCATATGCACAGGCACATAAAAATAATTTCTAAAAAATTTAATTCCTCTAACACAGTCTCTTATTTTTCCCCTACAACAAGCAAGAGTTTGGGAGTAGCAGGATTGGGGCCATACCTGTAATTCCTCTAGGGTGTAGAAGCAGGAGCACCACTGTGAGTTCTAGACCTGCCCAATCTTTCTTTAAAAACAAAAAAACAAGTTTGAGCCAGGTGGTGGTAGCACACACCTTTAATTTTAGCACTCCGGAGGCAGAGATAGGCGGATCTCTGTTAGTTCGAGGCCAGCCTGGTCTATAGAGCAAGTTCCAGGACAGGCACCAAAGCTACAGCAAAACCCTGTCTTGAAACCCCCCAAACAAGTTTGTGGCTCTGAGAGGCGTAGCTTAGACAGAGTTAGACTCTATTTCTGTTTGAAAAGGTGCTGCTGCCAGGCGGTGGTGGTGCACGCCTTTAATCCCAGCACTCGGGAGGCCGAGGCAGGCCTCTGTGAGTTCGAGGCCAGCCCGGTCTACAATAGCTAGTTCCAGGACAGGCACCAAAAACTACAGAGAAACCCTGTCTCGAAAATTCAAAAAGAAAAAGAAAAGAAAAAAGAAAAAGCGCTGTTATGAGATCCAGTGTCAACTATGCCAGTGTGCTAGTCCGGACAACTTCTATGCCCAGGCAGTGCAGGGGAAGGGCAGGGACAGTGTGTGTGTCTATCCTTGAACTAGGTCCAGGCGCCACCACTTCCTCTTTTTGGGGTGCCCCAAGTCCCACAACCCTGCCCTGCCTGAGTGAGACCCTCACCCGGGCCATGCCCTCCACTTTGCACTTACAGGGGCGCGCCCACTTCGTTCCTCAAAATCCCAAGCGGCTCAGCGTCTTCACTCCACAAACCCTAGTGACGGTTGCCAACCAAGCTCCGTCTCTATGGCAACAGCTACGCGCCCCAGGCCGGAAAGGGAGGGAACAGGATAGTGGTCACAGGCCCTGCTGGACTAGCCTGCCCCCTGCCGGCTTCCGGACGAGCGGCTCACCCTCTTGCCTTCCCGAGAGCCTTTAGAAGAGCTTCACTAACACTGGAAGTTCTGACTTTCCCCGAAGTTGGACAAAATGAAACGAAGTCATGTTTGAAGTTATTTTCTCCATATTGGGACATTTTGGCAGGCAGAGGAAACGGGGACATGCTCCAGAAATTCAGATAAACAAATAACAACCCTGAAGTGTCCGGAAGTCCTTCCCTAGGTCGTCAAAGAAGTTTAAAAAAAAAAAAAAAA